GAAAATTTGTAGTATCAACTGATCAGAAAAGCCTCAAACAACTACTGCAATAGAGAATTGTAACTGCAGAGCAGTAGAACTGGACTACTAAATTATTGGGTTATGATTTTGAGATTGTGTACAAACAGGGTAAATTGAACAAGGGAGTCGATGCTTTATCCAGAGTTCATGAGGGAGGGGAATTAGCTACCATGAATTACCAATGGAGATGGATGCAAGAGGAACAGGTTAAAACAGAAAACCAACAGGATGAAAGGCTGCAGAAAATAATAGAAGGGGTTCAACAAAATGCAGAAACATGGTCTGGTTACGAGTACAAGCAAGATGTCTTAATGTATGAAGGTAGGTTGGTGATTTCTAACAAGTATTTTCTAATTCCTACATTGTTAGAGGAATTCCACTCAACACCCCAAGGAGGACATTCAGGGTTCTACAAAACTTATAGAAGAATTGTGGCTAATGTGTATTAGATAGGCATGAAAGGAACCGTACAAGACTTTGTAAGAAGGTGCGACATTTGCCAAAGACAAAAGTACATGGATTCATCTCCAAGAGGTTTGTTACATCCTTTACCCATTCCTCATCAAATCTGGGATGATATATCGATTGACTTCATCACTGGGTTGCCAAAATCAAAGGGTTTCGAAGCTATTTTAGTGGTGGTGGACAGACTGTCCAAGTACTCTCATTTTATTCCTTTGCGACATCCATATACGACTAGGAGTATTGCTGAAGTATTTTTGTAAGGAGATAGTCAAACTTCATTCCATTCCTCTGTCCATGGTAAGCGATGGGGATCCCATTTTTATGGGCAGTTTTTGGAGGGAGATGTTCAAACTGCAGGGAACTAAGCTGAAAATGAGTACCGCATATCACCCCGAATCAGATGGGCAGACAGAAGTGGTTAATAGGTGTTTGGAAACCTATTTGAGGTGCTTCATTGCGGACCAACCTAGGACATGGGTATCATGGATACACTGGGCTGAATATTGGTTTAATACAACTTTTCATGCTGCCAACGGGAAGACACCATTTGAGGTAGTTTATGGAAGGCCACCTCCAAAACTAATTCAACAGACTCAAGGAGAGACTAGAGTTGAAGTTGTGCAGAGAGAATTATTGGACAAAGATGAGGCTTTGAGACAATTGAGGAACCAATTATTGAGAGCACAAGAGAAGATGGAGAGTCAAGCTGATAAGAAACGCACAGACATGAGTTTTATATATAGAGAATGGGTGTTTGTCAAGCTTAAGGCTCATAGGCAGCAATCGGTAGTGACCAAAATTAGTGTGAAATTAGCAGCAAGATACTACGGTCCTTATCCCATTATTGAGAAGATAAGAGCAATAGCATACATACTGAAGCTGCCCAAGGGGTCTAGAGTGCATCCTGTTTTTATGTTTCATTATTGAAGAAAGTTGTGGGGCGTTATCACAAAGAGGATGAGTTACCCGAGTTATTGGAGGAACAAATTGAAGTGTATGAACCAGAGGCGGTACTAGCCACTAGGAAGGTGAAAAACCAAGATGAAGAAATAAGGCAAATCCTCGTACATTGGAAGGGAAAGACAGCAGAAGAAGCAACTTGGGAAGATGAGATAATGATCAGAAGCCAATTTCCAAAGTTTGGCCTTAAGGACAAGGCCATTGCGGAATGAGAGGGTATTGATAGGACTCAGTTAGTTGAGAAATAATTTCCACGTGAGCAGTTGATTTACAAGGAATCAAGTAGACCCCAAGAGTGGAAAGTGTATTCTAGAAGGAAGGGTAAGAAGGGAATTGGTGGCTAGTTAGTTAAAATATTGTGACGTGGCTTGAGTGAGGAGAGAACCTTGCATTCCATTTCCATGATATAAGGAATCAAAGAGAGAATGTAGATCTCACCTTAAATTATAGTAATTTACTAGCATGTATAGGAAGCTATAGCTTCCTATTAGGAGCCTAGCTCTTGTCAGATCTAGGGTTACATTCCCCTTTTCTGTAACTGTTTCCATTCATATTCACTATAATAAAGCTCTCTTTTCCTCTGTTGTTTACTTGTACTATTATATTACTGCATTCTGGTTTTTTGGTTCGTATCCTTCGAGAAAAACAATATATAGTAAAGTATAAACCCTGACTAGTATATGTAGTAGTCGAAATCCCTCCCATTGCCGTAATTGTTGACTCAACTTCACTGTAAAATTCTTTCCACCATTGTTATAATCCTTAAAGTCATAATCAAATATTGGCCTTGAAATAAAAGGGACCCTTGACTTCATTGAATACCAGGCTTATCTAGGTTATAGTTAATAGCACGCTCAAGTGCATCACCATCTTCAAACCATTTGCGCAATTGTTTGTTTGCCTGCAAAATAATAAATTGATGCCTATTAGCATTCAGATCAAGATAAATCTAATAGATATCGCCAAATACAATTTCTTTTCATCAACAAAGTATAAAAGTAACAATGTTGGCATATGTGATTTGTTTGCATCAACAACATCAATGTCGATAATCTCCTTTGCTTTGTTAGTCATACAACATGCATGCATCCTAAAAGAAAACATGTAGAGATAAGAACATATAACATGTCTCTTTGTTTATTTAATTCCTAACAACAAAACAAAACCAACAAACCTTGCTTCAAGCCTGGGAGAACATAAGTAACAGTGTGTGGTGATTTCTTCCTGGAATTAACCTCTTCTTCCTTTTTGTTATGCACATGTATATCTTTACTGCTATTTTCTTCTTCAGAACTTATTATATCAATTACTACCACGGGCTTTGGTTTTGCAGTTACTTTCTTCTGAAAAGGTTTAGAACACATGCATGAACCCTAAATTTGAACATAAATTCCATGATGAAAAGTTTAGCTGCTTCAAAAGATTTCCACCAGACCTAATTCCAGACACCACAAAGCCTAAAAAAAATACCAAATGATAAAAATAGAATAAATCATTTCCACAATACAACTTTAACTAAATATAGAAAAAAACATACAGAAATTCCAGAATGAAACATAAAACCAGACTACTCATTATCCACAATAAATCGCACCATCACAAACTATATCCATCACCCTTTGATTATGGTTCCCTTTTTCGACCACAAAAGCTCCAACATCTAAACCGCGCTTCCCCCATCATCATCGCATAGTCACCATGAATCCATACAAAAACCATAACGCCACCTCCAGTTTACACTTTAGATCCACCCATTTCAGATGCAAATTTAGGGTTTCGAGTGTGATTTTGTTAGGTTCAGAGAGGAGGAGATGAAATGCATAGAATTTAGGTTAAGAGAAAGAAAAATACAGAAAAAGGTGGTTACATGTGAGGAAGACGAAGAAGAAGAATAGGGGGAAACTTGAGGAAGAGGAAGAAGTCACAGTCATCCGAGAGAAACAGAAAAGAGTGATAGAAAGAGAAAAGATGTTCAAACATATGGGGTTTAGGATAAGAGTAGGGATAACAATAGGTATTTATGGGCACCGATAATAGTCTTCGGCTACCGTCCGTAAATATGTTACTCGTACCAGTCTCATATTTATGTGGATATCCGTTAAATGAATATTTGTAGATTTTGAGATATCCGTATATATTTACGGGTATTTATAGATATTATTATTTAAATATATATTTAAAAATATATATTTAAATAACTTATTTTTTATCTCATAATAACTTTTTTTCAAATTTAACACATAATAAATAATAATAAAAATAAATCACATTAATTTTATTTCTTTTTTTATCAAAATAATAATAATAATAGTAATAATAATATTATGTTTTCTTTTTTTATCAAAATAATAATAATAATAATAATAATAATAATAATAATAATAATAATAATAATAATATTATGTTTAACAAAATTATTATTATTATTATTATTATTATTATTATTATTTTATCAAACACATTAATATTTATGTATTTTTGCTAATTATTAATAGATACAGATATCTGCGAATACGAATACCATCAAATTCATATTTATATTTGTAAGTAAACGGATAATTAAATATTTATTTATTTTACCTATGAATATCTATTAAAATCTCCCACCTATAACGGATTTTATGTACGAGTATGAATTTTTTTATAATCCCTAGATAAGAATAACCATTTATCTAGAGTTTAGATAAGAGTAAAAAAATTTTAATAAACTATTATGTTGACACCTCACCAAAGGCTTATAAAATATTTCCACAACTTAAAATTTTGTAGATGATCTCATTACTTAGTCAATAAGTATTTAGTATTATACGCTTTAATAACCATATTTAAATCTATATTTTCTTAATAAAATTTAAATTATGCAACAAAAAAAAAAAAGAAGCAAAATTTCTGAAATTGAACTTTATTATATATCATAGATGCACTAAGGTAAGATTTAGTTTATTTATCTATTTATTTTTTTGTAGAAAAAAATAGTATTTATCTCTTACGAATGACACATCATTATGCATCATCAATTATAAATGTAAATATATATTATATTAGTATGAAGGAATCAAAACTATCTAAATTTAAATTTTAGAGACAATAAAATAAAATAAAATAAAATAAAATAAAATAAATCATAACTATAATTTAAATGATACAATAAAAATTAATTATTTATAAAAATATAACGAATTAATTAAATAAATATATAAAAATAAATTTATAACATCAACGTATATCAATTAGATTTAATTAATTAAAACTCAGATAACCATGATTTGATTGCAAAGGACAAAAATTTCCTATATTCGGAAATATTTTATGCAAACATGTGAAATTGAGATTGGAACTCTGCACCTTTATTGTTTATTTTTGTTAAAAAAATATTATTAATAGAAAAAAAAATCACAAAAAAATAGAAAGAGAAAAAAAAAATCAAAAAGTGTAAAGATTATGTCTGTCTTTGCGCGTCATTGACTATAAGCGGACACGGTTTCTTTTACTTTTTTTCCCTTATTTAAGAACTTCACAACTACCCGAATGTGCAAACCACTACACCCACCACAATGGCTGATAGAGTTCACCCAAACGCCTCTCCACTCTCAAACGGCTCCCCAACGCCGTCGTCTGAGAAAACACCGGCGTCAGTTCCACCCGCTCCCAAAGCAGCTCCATCCGCTACCAAAGCACCTCCACCGGCTGGGACCTATGTCATCCAGGTTCAAAAGGATCAGGTCTACCGCTACCCTCCGCCAGAGAATGCCCGTCGTTTTGATAACTACACTCGCCGGAAAAGCAGTAGATGCCGCTGCTGTCGTTGTTTCTGTTGGTTCATCGGTGTTATTTTAACTCTAGCCGTCCTCCTCGCCATCGGCGCCGGTGTTTTCTACTTGGTGATCCGTCCGGAAGCGCCTAAGTATTCAATCAACCGCGTATCTGTCCAGGGAATGAACCTCACCACGCGGTCTCCGATCTCGCCGGAGTTTGACGTTTCTGTTAATGCTGATAACGGTAACCGTAAGATCGGAATCTACTACAACAAGGATAGCACTGTTGAATTGTTTTACAGAGGCGTTAAACTCTGTAACGGCGCGTTACCGGCGTTTTATCAGCCGTCTAATAATGTAACGGTGTTTGAGACGGTATTGAAAGGAAACAACGTAGAGGTGGCGGGATCGGATCGGAATGCGTTACTGAATGCTGTTAAGAAGCAGAGTGTGCCGTTGACGTTGAAGCTGAGGGTGCCGGTGAAATTCAAAGCGGGATCTGTTAAGACGTGGGCGTTCCACGTTAAGGTTCAGTGTGTTGTGACGGTGGATCGGTTAACGGCGAAAGCGAAGATTGTTAGCAGAGATTGCAGTTACGGATTGGATCTATGGAACTGGTGATGAAATTCATTATTTGGATTTAGGGTTTAGGATGAAATCGTTTAGAGCTTAATACTTTTGGTTTGGTCTTTTTTTAGTGCGTTTATTTGACCAGATATCGTTTTTTATTTTATTTTATGATTTTTGCTAATTTATTTATGTTTTTTTAGCTGATATAATTAACCAATTTGATTTTCGTTGAATATAATGAACTTTTTTATTAAAAAGAAAAAAATTCAAATTTCCATTTTTGTAACGTTATTATTGGTGATGAAAATATCCTTGCAGTTTATATTTTCCTACAATCACGCATTAAAAGCAGAAAAATCGTTTGATCTTAATCCATTGTAGAGAAAAAATAAGTTTATTTTTTATTTTATAATTTAAAATACTAATTTTAAATTAGAAGACTATTTGATTATGATCATATGATTATAGACACTTGACTCCGTGACTACAGCAAACTGCCATACATGGTCCAATAGTCTAATGTCATTAATATAATCTCTAATGTGAATCAACATCTTGTCCATTTTTCATTTTTATTTTCTCTCTTCATTATTATAGTTTTGATGAAATTTAAAGTGTATAAAAAATAAATGAATCAATCAAATATCACATTATTACATTTATATTTCAAAATTTTGATAATGGACAAAATGGAGAAGAAAGGAACCGACGAAGATATTGACTCCTCTAATATATGTCCTCAGAAATCAAATTTGAAAAAATGACACATGTCATTCTTTTAATCTTTATATAATATTTTATATCAACTAACTATTTAAATAAGAATGGAGAATGCCTAATCATACCCTAAACTATCATTACATATCTTTAAGTCATCGTGTCAGAAAATATCTTTGTTCGTCTGCATACTAACGCTCTCTAACTGAAATCTATTATTTATTATAAATATATAAAATATAAAGTATTTGAAAATTTCACATATATCCTTTTGAGTTTACGTTTAAACTTTTTTTATTGCAATGTTAAAATTGACTATTTGAAGTTTGTTGCAACTACATTCGTTTAGTAATTAATGAGGTTAATGTGTCACTCATTTATTTTTTCTTACTCAATTTTTATTTTATTTAATCTTTCTTAATCCATGTTTAACTAAACCTATTTTTTTTTCACGTATAACTAAAGCTGTAGAAGGTGGAATGACTCTTTCATATTCAATCTATTCAAATGAATCTTTGAATGTTTAGTAGTTCAATGAACCTTTCACTCTCCTCAATGCATCGGTAAAGTCACTATTTTCAAATTCATTCATATCTCTTCAATTTCGATACTTTATATTTCTTCTTCATCTCATCACTCTCCATTTTGTCAAATTTGTAGCATAAAAACATCTGGAAGCGCCATCTGAAAAACCATTATCCCAGTCTCTACCAAACCACGCTTAAAGTACATATCCAAAAGCGTTGTCGAAACATTAACCATATTTTCAAATCCCTATCTAATAGCATAACCATGAATCGACCTTCCAATTCTCAAACCCTTAATATCCGCCACAACTGGCAACACATTAATCAAAGTAATCAAATCTACCTTCTTACAATCTTCCTGCATATTCGAAACCAACCACAACACTTTCCTAGCATACCATTCTACTCACACATTGCAACAACTGTATTCCACGAAACCAAATCCTTACACGACATTCTATCAAAGATCTTAAACGCATCATCAATCTTTCTACACTTTGCATACAAATTAACAGCATAAGTCATAGCAAACAAATTCGAATCAAACCCATTAACAATCAACATCCCATGAATATCTCTACCCTTTATGCCGTAAACCAGAGAATAGGGTGTTGCCCCGGTTGATGTGCGAGCTGTGGTACGATATTCATGGAGAGCAAATGGTAACATCTCATGCCAGTCTTTGTATGTGATTGTCCTTTTCTGTATGATCTTTTTAATATTTTTATTTACAGCTTCGACAACACCATTCATCTTTGGTCGGTAGGGAGAAGAATTATGATGCTGAATCTTGAATTGCTCGCACAAGGCGGTGATCATAGTGTTGTTGAGATTTGTACCGTTGTCAGTGATGATCCTTTCGGGGATACCGTATCGGCAAATGAGATTTTTCTTGATGAAACGGGCAACAACGTTCTTGGTGACGGAAGCGAAGGAGGCTGCTTCCACCCACTTTGTAAAATAGTCAATAGCCACTAGGATGAAGCGGTGTCTATTGGAGGCTGTCGGCTTAATTTCCCCAATCATATCTATTCCCCACATAGCAAAGGGCCAAGGAGTTGTCAAGACATTCAGAGGAATCAGAGGTACGTGCACCTTGTCAGCATAAATCTGACACTTATGGCATGTTCGAGAGTGTTGATAGCAATCTGCTTCCATGGTAGACCAGTAATAGCCTGCCCGTAGGATTTTCTTTGCCATCATATGCCCATTGTAATGGGTACCAAAAGTGCCTTCGTATAATTCAACCATGATCCTTTCAGCTTCAACTTTATCTACGCACCGAAGTAACATAGAGTCATGATTGCGTTTATACAGGATGCCATTACTAAGGAAGAACTTAGCAGAGAATCTCTTTAAGAACTTTTTATCATTGATTGAAGCTCCTTCTGGATATTCTTAAGCCTCGAGATACCTCTTGACTTCGTGAAACCAAGGCTGGTCCACTACTTCTTCAGTATTAATCTCGTGATAGTGTGTTGGTTCATCCACTCGTTCAATGGTGATCTGGGAAGCCTTGTTATCCCAATTAAGTTTAAACATATATGACATTGTTGTTAGAGCGTCTGCTAGCTGATTTTCTTCTCGCGGGAAATGCTCGAAGGTAATCTTCTCAAAATGTGGTAGCAATGTCAAAACATGTTCTTTGTAAGGGATAAGGTTTGGGTGTTTGGTGTCCCATTCCCCTTTGATCTGATTGATGACTAAAGCTGAATCTCCAAATACATCCAAGGATTTGATTCCCAGGTCTACGACAGCTTTGAGACCGAAGATGCATGCTTCGTATTCCGCCATGTTGTTTGTACAATTGAATCAAAGTATGGAAGTAAAGGGAGTATGACACCCTTTTAGAGATATGAGTACAACACCAATACCATTGCTGAGTGCATTGAAGGCTCCATCAAAGAACAGGGTCCATCGGGATCCTTGTTCGGGTCCGTCATATGGCATGATTTCTTCACAGTTGTCTAATGTCATGATGTCTTCATCCAGGAATTCAAACTTCATGGACTGGTAGTCTTCCACAGCTTGGTGAGCGAGGTGATCGACTAGTACACTCCCTTTTATAGCTTTCTGGGTAGTATACAGTATGTCATATTCTGTCAGGATCATCTGCCATCTCGCTATTCTCCCAAAAAGGGCAGACTTCTCGAAGATGTATTTTATCGGATCCATTTTAGATATCAACAAGGTAGTATGAGTCAGCATATATTGTCTTAGCCGGCGAGCAGCCCATGCCAGAGCGCAGCAAGTTTTCTCGAGCAGTGAATATCTGGTTTCACAGTCGGTAAACTTTTTGCTCAGGTAGTAAATAGTGTGCTCTTTTCGGCCAGACTCGTCATGCTGCCCCAATACACAACCCATTGAGTTTTCTAAAACAGTTAGATACATAATCAACGGTCTTCCCTCGACTGGTGGCATAAACACATGAGGCTCTTGCAAGTATTCTTTGATTTTGTCAAAAGCAACTTGGCATTCATCATTCCATTTGACTACTTGATCTTTCTTCAATAGTTTGAAGATTGACTCACAAGTAGCTGTCAGGTGAGAAATGAATCTGGCAATATAGTTCAAACGTCCCAAGAATCCTCTGACTTCCTTCTCAGTACGAGGAGCAGGCATCTCTTGTATTGCTTTAACTTTGACAGGATCGACCTCAATACCTTTGTTACTGACGACAAAGCCTAGGAGCTTACTGGACCGTACCCCAAATGTACACTTGTTTGGATTCAACCTCAGCTTGTACTTCTTCAGTCTCTCAAATAGCTTTTGTAAGTGGTCAAGATGCTCTTCTTCTGTTTGCGATCTGGCTATCATATCGTCTACGTAGACCTTTATCTCATGATGTATTATGTCATGAAATAAAGCTATCATGTCGCGTTGATAGGTTGCCCCAGCATTTTTCAATCCGAATGGCATCACCTTGTAGCAGAATGTGCCCCACTGTGTGACAAATGTTGTTTTCTCCATGTCCTTAGGTGCCATTTTGATTTGGTTGTAACCTAAGAATCCGTCCATGAAGGAAAACACTTTGTGTTGTGCCATATTGTCAACTAGGATATCAATGTGAGGGAGTGGAAAGTCATCCTTAGGGCTTGCCCTATTCAGATCTCGGTAGTCCACACACATTCGCACTTTGCCGTCCTTTTTGGGCACGGGAACAACATTGGCAACCCATTGGGGGTAAGAGGTGACAACCAAGAATTCAGTGTTAAATTATTTCATGACCTCTGCTTTAATCTTTTCTGACATATCAGGCCTCATTCGACGTACCTTTTGCTTTACTGGTGGACAATCTTCTCTTGTAGGCAGATGATGTACCACAATATCTTCATCAAGTCCTGGCATGTCTTCATATGACCAGGCAAAGACTTCGACATAATCATGCAATAGCTAAATCAGACGCTTCTTGATACTGGGTTCCAAATTGGCACCCACCTTGACCTCTTTTTTGTCTTCTTCGGTATCCAGGTTGATTGTATCCACGGGTTCCTCGTGAGGCTGAATGGTTCTTTCTTCTTGTTGTAGCAGTCTGGCCAGTTCCCCTGGTACTTCACAATCTTCCTAACCTTCGTCTTCGACTTGGTAGATCAGATTCTCAAAGTCACGAAAGGCCATAGCAGTATGATTACCCATGGGATCCAGAATGGATGGATACCTGCATTGTGAGTGTGGGTGTGTGTAAGGGTATAGCTATCTTTGAAAGAAAATAAAATGTAAAAGAAAGAAAAATAATGAGCACAAAATTTTGTATGCGAAAACGTCCATGATTCATTGATGTCATATGAAGATGAAATAATAACCCTT